CCGGCGAAGATCTCCCTCGTCCTGACACCCCAGGCGAAGGCGGGCCTGCGCAGCAGTGGCTCCAGCTGCTGGAAGTCGATGTCCTCTTCCTCAGCTCTCGCCTGGGCTTCCCCGCCGGCGCTCTCTCTGACCTCGCAGGCAGCTGCTTGCTGGCGCCTGCAGTGCGCACAGGGCGGGGGGCGACTGGGGACGACGGGGCCCGCCGCGCCCTCGGTCTCCAAGTACATCTCCCAGCCCGTCGCGAGCCGCTCCCGCAGCTCCTTCCTGGCCAGGGCCCAGGTCTTGATCACCTCCCCGATGGCCTGTTGCCCGTCAATCCCGGGCGGGAGTCGGAGCGTGCGCATACGCCCTCTGTGCATCATCACGTGGAGCTCGCGCTGTCCAGGCCCAGCTGGTTCCAATGGTTCACCCTCCAGACCCGGAGCGTCACATCCTGAAGCTCCGGCAGGGTGAACAGCGTGACGCACCAGAAGTCCTTGTCGCGGTGTGGCACGAGCGCATCATGGCAACATCCTCAGCTCCGCCTCGCGTGGGGAGACGAAGAGCGGTGGGTCACCCAACGCCGCGGCCGCGGTCGTCGCCTGGTCCCACAAGGACCGGCGAAGGACCAAGGCCAACTCGCGCACCTCGGTGATGGACGGGGCCTGGCCGTGCTAGCTCAGGAGCGCGCCCGTCAGGTGCAGGACCAGGCACTGCCTCTCCTCTTGGGTGTCGGCTGGGAGCCCTAACCGCGCGGCAAGTTCTGGCTCTAGGGGCAGCTTGTCCTGGTAGTCCCAGAACTGCCATGTCTGGCCGAGCAGCTTCACGGTCCCCGTACCAGTCTCGCTGGCTTCGTCCCAGACCGCAGGGCTGATCATCACGTCTGGCTCCCCGCCCAAGTTGCCCGCCTTGGCGCCTATCTCATCCAGCACGGCGCCCGCCTCCTCCGCGAGGGTAGGCCCTCCATCGCGGGTGGCCTCCAGCAGTGCTTGCTCCACCTCGATCGAGCGTGGCTCCTTCCGCCCTGGCTTGGGCCAGCCGGGCCAGGACATGCGACTTGAGGTAGTCGCTGGCTTCCTGGAGCTTGTCGAGGACGCCGCTGCCCTGCACCTCGTCGATCAGGGCCTGCCGTTTGAGGGCCTCGGGGCGATCGCAATGGCTGGTGCTGTACACCCAAGGGGAGTCTGCGTGTGCGTCGAGAAGCCAAGAGTGGTCTGGCCCCTGCACCGCCTCCCTCAAGTCGTTCTCCATCGCGGTGCACTGGATTTCGTCATACGCTGCTGGGGCGCTCCAGTCGCACCTGTACTTCGTGCATCCGCAAACCGCGCACCTGCCGCGCGGCATGAACTCCTTCTCGATCGCCTCCCAGTCCAAGTCTTCTCCGCGCAACGCACGCAGCAAGAAGCTCGGGCCTTCCGCTCGCCCTTCTTCTGATACGGCGCGCTGTCGAAGGGGCGAAGGATCAGCATGTCCTCGCGCCGATGCACCCGCGCCAGCGCCGCGCAGCTCGACAGAGGTGACGTGCCCCCGCTGAAGCTCGGGTCCACGATGACACCTTGCTTGAACGTTTGCCCCTGCGCAACATGGGCCGCCACACCGACTGCCGGGGCCAAAGGGAAATGCCGTCTTTTGACCTTCAGTCGCGGATGCTGACAACCTCTGTCCACGAACCACTCCTTCTTCTGCGGAACCACCGGGTACAAGCCGGGCGTTCTTAAACCCTCGATTGTCCGCTTGCACGGTTTCCGACCGCCCTTCCCGTCGTCGCCTTCGTCGAACAACACGAAAATCACTGTCGGAGTGTTCTTCACTATGGTCTCTCCGCCGCGTGTGACCTGATCTCGTTCTCTGTCTCTGTCGCAAATCCAAGACTGTAACCGGCCGACGCGACCGCGCAGGAGGATCTTGTTTTCGCTTCGACCGAGATGATCGGTCAGGGCGACTGGCATGCCTTCCGCGATGGGCAAGAAGCCGTGCAAATCTTCGCTTTCCTTGTCGTGGCGTTGAAGCCATGTCATCTTCTGCTTGCTGCAGATCCTGTCGCTCGCGGAGCGCCTCGGGACTGTAGCTCCTCCACTACAGCGGCCATCGGACTGGTAGCCATATAGAAAACTGGGGAAAGCTGGAAGATGCGCAAATATGCCCCGTGCTACGAGGCACTGACTGAAGTGCCTTCAGGTCCATTCGAGCTCTCCAGTATGAGAGATTGTGAATAAATACTTCAAGGGCCCCTGATCCCAAAGCTCACGCGTGACTTTCCCGAGGCCTCGCAGGGGTGGCTCAAAATCCAAGCCTCCAACATAGCCTAGAATAGCCTCAAGTTTCGGCGGTGGGCAAGCCTCCCTTTAGTAAACTACTCTTTGGTGAAAGCGGCCTAGGACCTAAACGACGGACCTGGACCCGCAAAAATGACGCCCGCGACGCCCTCTCGCGAACTGAAAGCAGCCAATTCACTAATCGACGTGTCAGGGTATGAGGTCTATCAACCTCCGAAAATTGGCCCCAAGGGCCATACTGCAGCCCATCTGGCTGTTTGGAATAACCCTGGGACCACAGAAAAAGAAACCTCTTAGGGGGGGGCGGTGGGAGCTTCCGCTGGCCTTCGCTGGCCTTTCGCCGCCGTCCGCCCGCGGAACCGCCTGCACTTCACTCCCGCCGCATTCCACCAAGTCTTCCGCCGAGGAAGAGAGATCGACTTGCCAGTTCCTCCGAGGCAATCGGGGGCGCGCAAACATGGATTAGCGATCCATGGACTTGGCGCGCGGTCGCCAACTCCCCAAAATGAGGTCGGTGCCGCCTCGCTCGGCGGCGGAAATCCGCGATTTCCAATGGAAACGGGGCCCATCGCTAATACACGCGCCCTTGATCCATGTTTGCGATCGTCTGAGGCAAGTCCCTTCCTGGTCTCTCGAGTCGCCTCTGAGCTACAAGCAAGAGGTGACCCCAGGTCAGGAGCGGCCTTCGGTACGCGGCCTGCCGATCGCTGCATGAGATGCGACAGCAGCAGCCTGCGTGAATGGGCGGGCCGCGTAGCCAATTCTGCGAGGCCAGGTCCATAATCTTCTGGGGCAGGAAGCTGATCTCCGGCTTCATCTTCGACCAATCCGCCCTGGTTTTCGGCAAGGGCCCAGGCTCCCAGGAAGTGCCGGACCCCCGTGGTCATCGTCAAGGCCTCCGATTTCCCCGGCTTGCTCGCTGACCAGATGTTCCTCAAAGCAAGCTGCCTCTGCGCCGCGGCGGCCTTCATCCGTTAATATTTGTGGGTCGCTCTTACATGTGCCGAGTCTTCGAGGCTGGCCGGCCCAAGAGGCTAAAATCCATCTCGCGGCGTTTCGGTCACCAGAGCGTCCACGACGCCTCAGTCGGCCCAAGTAGCGCCCCACGGCGTCCCCCGGCAGGGCCCACGATACCTCCGAGGTCGGTCCCAAGAGCGGCCAAAGATGGCCCCCGAGACAAAGGACCCCAGGAGGCCCCCAGAACTCCAAGAAGAAGCCCCTAAGAGGGCCTGGGATCCGTTCACGAGTCCCCCAAGAGGCCCTCAAGAGACCTCCTATAGAGGCCTCCAGGAGGCTCCCAGGAGCCTTCTTCCAAGGGATCGCGAGAGGCCCGTAAGAGGCCACTGGTCCACGGCCCGGGCACGGGGACGGGATGGGCCGACAGCCACTAGATGTTTAGAAAATTGGAAAAGATGCAACGGCTAGAGAAATCAAATGGCCGATTCTGGAACCCCTGAATCCAAAAACGTTTTCATCTCTTGGGGGCACATCTTTCACTTCCGCCGCCTTCCGCCGAGCTTCCGCCGGCGGAGGCGGCCTCGTTTACTTCCGTCGACCTTCCGCCGCCCTTCCGCCGCCCTTCCGCGGCGGAAGAGATGACAACTCCTTCTATCCTCGAAGGCAGGGCCCTTCTTGAAACGACTCAAATGAGATGCAGAGCGGTGGAAGCGTCTACAACAAGCCACGAGGGAACATCGAGATGCGGCGCCAGCCGGAAACGAAGCGAAGCGCAGCGCCCACCACAGCTACATCCGTCCCCACCCCCAGCCCACCCACACTTGAAAAAAGTCCTGCACATACTAGGTAGCACATTGAGCTGAGTTTGGTTATGCACTTCCTGTTGGTGCGCTGCAGCTCAGCAGCCAGCAAGTCTGGGACAGAAGCGTGCTGAGTCTGTCACGGACAAGCATCGGCATTGCTTAGATCGGATTGCCCGCGGCGTGTCGCCCAAGATCAACCTATGGTGAAGCGGAGAAGGGCAAGGCACTACGCATCACTCAAGCAGCCTCCCCTTCCGTCGTCGAGACAGTCGCAATGCCTGTGACTCCTCAGCTCCTCTGCCCTCGCCCTCCTCCACCTCCCCATCCCTCCCCCTGCAGAAGATGGTCAATGTATACGGGACAAGTAACATCCAGAATATGGCCAGCGTAGATAGGCACCATGAGCTCCCGTCTACTCCAGTGATTGTGTTGCCGCCTCCTGGAGGCGGAGCTCAAAGTGAGGGGTGGGCGAGGTCGTCGGCAGCGGGGTGGTGGTCGTGGGAGGGGGGAACAGGAGCCTCACGCTCCAAAGCCTGTAGGCTGAGCGTGCGGTTGCGTGCCCACCATGGGGGTCGCGGGCCATGTGGGCGAGTGCTGCCGTGTGCAGAGCGCGGCAGCCATCAAATTGATATCGCAATGGTGGAGGTATGTATGCCTCTTCTCAGCACCCATGCAGCGGGCAGTCACGCATGCGTGAAGTTTTTGTCCGGTTGCACGCGTGTTCATTCGCTGCAGTACTGGATCCCATGAGCTACGATCCAATCCTCACCCCCACCTCCTCCTCCAAAGCCAGCCGACGGCAGACGCTGCCCCGCAGCTGACCACCCCCTCAGGGCCTGCGCTCCCCACGCCCGCCGCGCCACCCGCCGCCGCCGCCACCGCCCGTCGCCAGTGACGCTGCCGTCGTCTTCGTCGTCGTCGCCGCCGCCGCTGCCGCAGCCGCCGCAGCCGCCACCGCCGCCGTCGTCGTCGGCGGCGGCGGCGCCTCCACGCCCGCCGCGCCGCGCCCGGCGGCGGTGAGCGCACCGCCGGCCGGTGGGAGCGCCGCGGCGGACAGCGCGCCGCGTGCCGCGGGGGCGCGGCGGGCGGGCGGCACCTCCGAGGGGTGGGCGCTGCGCCTCTGCGGCCTCCCCGCCAAAGGGTCGGGGGTCCCCCTGCTCCCTCCCTCCATCCCTCCACCTGCCTCCTCAGCCTCCTGCTCCATCCCCTCCCTCCCCCGTCATCCCAGCGGCCCCGTTTTCTCCGTCCTTATTATTATTCTCCTCCTCCTTCTCCTCCTCCTCCCTCCTCCTCCTCCCTCCCTCCTCCTTCTCCTCCTCCTCCTCCTCCCCCCCTCCTCCTCCTTTTCCTCATCCTCACCCTCACCCTCATCCTCACCTCATCCTCATCCTCACCCTCATCCTCACCCTCATCCTCATCCTCATCCTCATCTCATCCTCATCATCAGCATCAGCATCAGCATCATCATCATCATCATCATCATCATCATCATCATCATCTCATCATCATCATCATCATCATCATCATCATCATCATCATCATCATCATCATCGTCATCAGCATCATCATCCATCATCATCATCATCATCATCATCATCATCATCATCATCATCATCATCATCATCATCATCATCATCATCATCATCATCATCGTCGTCTTCGTGATCACCATCATGAGCATCATCATCAGCATCAGCAGCAGCATCAGTCTCATCATCATCAGCAGAATCATCAGCATCAGCATCAGCAGAATCATCAGCATCAGCATCAGCATCAGCATCATCATCAGCATCATCAGCATCATCAGCATCATCAGCATCATCATCACCACCACCACCACCATCATCATCATCATGATCATCATCATCACCACCACCACCATCATCATCATCATCATCATCATCACACCACCACCACCACCACCACCACCATCATCATCATCATCATCACCACACCACCACCACCACCACCACCAGCAGCAGCAGCAGCAGCAGCAGCAGCATCATCATCATCATCATCATCATCAGCAGCAGCAGCATCATCATCATCATCATCATCATCATCATCATCATCATCATCAATCATCATCATCATCCACCTCCTCCCCCTCCTCCCCCTCCTCCCCCTCCTCCTCCTCTCCCTCCCTCCTTCACCTCGTCTTCCTCCTTCTCCTCCTAATCATCATCCTCCTCCTCTTCCTCCTCCTTTCCCTCCTCGTTCTCCACCTCCTCCTCCTCCTCCTCCTCCTCCGCCTCTTCCTTCTCCAGTTTCTCCTCATGCTCAGCCTGCTCCTCATCATCTACCGATTCTCAGCCTCAGCCTCCTCCTCCTCTATTATGCTCCATCCTCAGGAGTCGTCCTCCCCCTCCTCGTCCTCCTCCTCCTCTTCCTCTTCCTCCTCGCCTCCCGCAGCCTTCCTCCATCCGTTGTCTTTCTGATTGAATCTTTTTCGTCCGATCACCAGACTTGTCGGTAGGGCGGGCCGGGCGTTTTGCCTGATAGTTGGTCCCCGCTCATGACCACGAAGCTAGAAATTGCCAGCCTTTTCACGGATGGAAAGCGGTCCCATTGCAAACATCCGAGGAAAAGAAGGGGGAGGCATCTGCTGAGAGACGCCCATCGGGGAGGGGGGAGGGACTTCTGGGGGCTGGAAGGTAAAGGGGGGAGAGGGGGCTTTCGGCTTGAGAGGTCCAACCAAGGGGGCGGGGAGAGAGAGCTCCCGTGGGGCGGGAAACCAAGGAGAAAGCCGCAGAAGGGGAACTTCGGAACGAGGGCGCCTCAAGCGGAAGGAAGTCGCTAAAAGACACCCCTTGGGCGCGACATCTCACTGCCTATCTTCAAACCCCACACTCTGGGAGGACGACCCACGACGGCGGCGACGTCGGCCCCCTGAGGTCGACGAAGACGCTCGACGTCGGCGACGACGCCGACGACGACGACGACGACGACGACGACGACGACGACGACGACGACGACGACGACGACGACGACGGCGGCCCCTTGAGGTCCCAACCAACAAAAAAAAACGTGAGGCACCCCGGCCGACCCTCGAATCTCGATCGATCTTCGAACCTCGAACCTCGATGCTCGAACCTGGATCCTTGAACCTCCACCCTCGATCCTCGATCCCCGAACCTCGAACCTCGAATGTCAATCCTCACCCCTCGAACATCGAACCTCGGACTTCGGTCCTCGATCCTCGATCGATTGTCCAACCTCGAAACTCCAACCTCGAACATCAAACCTTGACCAGCGGCGGCGGCGGCGGCCTGCCTCGGGGGCAACGAAGGCCAGCACCATCGCCCCGACAAAAGCGCCCTACCGCGGGCGCAGGGGGCAGGCGCACGGGGGTCCCAGATGCTCCCTGCGGCCCCTCATGTTCCTGGTGGGCGACTTCCTCGGGGCGCTTGCTGTAGGGGTCCTCGTCATCATCGAGGTGCTGGCGTTCGGGGGCAACCTGGTCACCAGCATGCACACCCTACCCCGCCGCATTGCCAATTCGCTCGACCAGGATCGTTTGCGCGCCTACGACCTGGCCTTTGTGCACCTCGGGATGAGCCTGGCCGTCGCCGCCGTGCTGGGGGTCGCAGTGGGGGTGCTGTCCAGTGCTGGCGTGGCAGTCCAAGCCGCGGCTGCCTTGTCGGCTGCCCCGGCCGTATGAGCAGCGGGTTGGGGCGCGCGGGACTGGGACTCCACGCTGGGCTACCCTGGCGAGGGCCCCCCAGCCCCAGGCACGCCGCTGGGAGGGGAACGGCCAGCAGCGGCCAGAGTGGACGAGATGGACGTCGACACGCCGGAGCGGCGCAGCGGAGACCAACGGTCCAGCGACATTGCACGACAGAACTCAGGGGATGGGGGTGGACGCCGCCCCTGGGCCGAGGCAAAACCAGCGCCGCAGAGAGCAGCAAAGGGCGATTGACACTCAGAAGCCCACATCTGGCCCCGCGGTCTGTGTAGACTGCGCCATACCGTTCGACACGAACGAGGTCTCTCGACATGGGGAAGCAGGGACCGCGGCGGATGGAGATGTCTGGGGTGCGTGTCAGCTCAAGCTCTGCCGGGGGATACTTGCGCCCTGCGGCCAGGCGACACTGCCACAGAAGAACACGTCCAGGCTGCCAGGGCCGCCCTTGCCCGGGAGGCCGCTGCCAGGAGCGACGGGCGCAGGCAGCAACCAGGAAGCGCCAGCCCCCGCCTCCGCCCCGAAGCATCCGGCATGGGCGAGCGGGGAGCTTCCGAATCCGCGGTCGGCGGCCGCCCTGGTGGGTGCCCCCTCCTTCGTCCAGGTACCAGACCGCTACCATGGCGCCTTCGCCACGGCCCGCGCTGCAGTCTGGGGCGCTCCATCAGCGGCCGAAGCGCGCGGCGACACCGAGCAGGAAGGCCCTGCTTCTCTGCGACGGCATGCTGCTAGCGCGCCCACGCAGGTGTGCGACGTGCGCGGAGTCCCTGGGAGAGCGCCTGGCGTTGGTCTGGGGCGGGCAACTGGCAGCTCTGTAAGGCGACGCTGCTGGCCGGGCTGCTCCGCCACCGAGGACGGCCGGCCAGGGAACGCTCGAGCGCAAAGCACGCAGGGTACAGACCCTGGCGCCCGCCGGCGACGAGGGCAGGGCGCTGCAGGCCTTGCGCCGTGTGCCCCTGGCCCCACGCACAGCAGACACTCTCGCCTAGCTCAGGGGCAGCTTCCCAGGGGCGCGACCAACGCAGCGGCCGCTCAGGCCGGTCCCCGGACTGGGGCCGCAGGCCCTCCAGGTCGGCGAGGTCGTCAGGTCGTCGCCGTGGACAAGGGCGGGGGCGAAGTCCGCCCGCTGCTGGTGGGTGTTACCCTGCGGAGACTAGGAAGGAGGACCTCGGCGCATCGGCGAGAGCGAGGCGAGAGCGAGGCGCCTAAGGCGACCGCGGGCGCCGGCAGCCCAGCCAGGGGGCCAGCCGGAGGAAGCCGGGTGCAGCAGCCCCTTTTTGTTGCGGACTCGGCCAGGGACTGGGACTGGGCCTGGGAGAGGAGAGGAAAAAGGGGGGGGGGGGGGGGGAAAAACAAAAAAACAACAACAACAACAACAACAACAACAACAACAACACAACAACAAAAAAAAAAAAAAAAAAAAAAAAAAACGCAGCGGCGGGGCCCCACCAGTATGGGGTTGGCCGCGGCAGCGGAGCAAACCTCATGTCAAAGCAGCTGCAAGCACAAGCGCACCTCTGCCGGAACATGGCGCTCATAAAAGTGGACGCCCAAGCTGCCTTCCAGAGAATGGAGCGCGGACCGGCGATCGCAGCCATGGCTGAGCATGCGCCCGATGTCGCCTGGAGGAGAGGTACATGGCACAGCGGCCCTGCCGCCCACCTGTGGCGCGACGCGGACGGCAACTTCGAAGAGGTCGTGAGCACCCGCGGCTTTGACCCAGGAGACCCGCTGGCCCCGGCCGCTTTTTTTTTTTGTTTTTTTTTCTCCCTCTCAGCGCAGCAGCGCAAGTGCCAGTGCCCCCCCGCGCGCCCACGGTGAGTGCGGGGCGGGGGCACGCCCCCAGGGAGCGGAGGGTTTTCGGCCGAAGCCAGGCGAACCCCGAACCTCCCCCGAGGCCGCCCCGACGCCGCCCGGCGGCGCGTCGCCCTCAGGGCCCGGCCCGTCGCCGCCAGCCGCCTGCCGCCTGGGCGGCCGCCGCCGCAGCAGCCGTGTTTTCGGCCGCCGCCGCCGCCGCCGTCGCTGGCTGCCGTCCGCGGGACGTCGGGCCCGCAGCGGCCAGGCCCTCTTGCCAGCCGCGCCGGGCTTGGCCGCCAGCGCCTGCAGCAGCCTCCCGCCGGCGCCGGCCGCGCCGGCTGCCGTTGCTCGCCCCACCCCTCCGGTCCGCCGCGGGCTGGCCAGCCAGGTGCCTAGGCCCCAGTGGCGGGCCCGCGCCTGCCGAAGGCGCGCCGCCGCCAGCGCGAGGGGGAGACCGCCAGAGCCCGCGGCCAGAGCATGCCGTTTTCGCACGCGCCGACTTCGGCAATGTAGCTGATGAAAACGCTCGGCTCTGGCTTCGGATCCCGGGTCGCCCGGGAAACCGCCTCAGCCCGCGTCGACAGCATGCCCTTCTCGCTCGCGCCGAGTCCGGCATTGCAGCCGATGGCAACTAGCGCGGTTATCTTCGGCCCCCTGTCGCTGAGTAGCGGCAGAGCCCGCTGCCACTGAGCGCCCTTCGGGCACGCACCGATCCCAGCGCTGTAGCTGATTACGTCTGGCACCAGCTTCGCATCCCACATCGCGCTGAGCAGCGCCAGAGCCCGTTGCCGCTGATCGCCCTTCTCACCTGTGCTGATCCCGGCGTTGTAGCTGACCACGTTGGGCCGCAGCTTTGATTCCCGCATCTCGCTGACCAGCGCCAGTGTCCGCTGCTCCTGATCGCTGGTCGCGCCTTCCAGGATCCCTGCGCCGTAGCTGGTTACGTCGGGTACCAGCTTCGCATCCCGCATCTCGTTGGGCAGCGCCAATGCCTGCTGCCACTGTCTCCTCCTCTCGCACGTATTGATACTGGCATTGAAGCTGATGACGTTGGGCTGCAACTGTGATTCCCGCATCTCGCGGGGCCGCGTCCGGGCCCGCTGCCGCTGCCCGCCGCTCCCACATGCGTTGATCCCAGCGCTGTACCTGATTGCGTCGGGCTCCAGCTTCGCATCCCACATCTCTCCAAGCGGCGCCAGAGCCCACTGCCACTGCTCGCCCTTCGTGTAGGCTATGATCTCAGCATTGGAGCTAATGACGTCGGGCCCCTGCTTCGCACCCCGCATCAACTTGAACAGCGCCAATGCCTGTTGCAACTGCCCCCTCTTCTCGCATGCGCTGACCCCAGCGGTGTAGCTGATGGCGTCTGGCTCCAGCCTCGCGTCCACCGTCTCGGCGAGCAGCGCTATCAGTGGGAGAGCCTGCTGCCACTGCTCGCCGTTCGTACACGCTCTGATCCCAGGGCTGGCCCCAGAGTTGTAGCTGATGGCATCTGGCTCCGACCTCACTTCCCACATCTCGCAGAGCAGTGATAGAGCCCGCTGCCACTGCTTGCCTTTCGCGCACGCGCTGATCCCATAGCTGTAGCTGATGACATTCGGCTCCGATCTCGCTTCCCACATCCCGCTGAGCAGTGATAGCGCCCGCTGCCACTGCTCGTCTTTCGCGCACGCGCTGATTCCGTGCCTTCTCCTCCTCTTCTATCTCCTCCTCTGCCGCCTCGCTCTCCTCACTGGCTCGCTGCCACTGCCGCTGCCCATTTCTCGCACGCGCGCTGGCCCCAGCGATGCCACTGATGACGTTGGGCCCCAGTTTGGGAATCAGCAGCGCCAGAGCCTGCTGCCACTGCTCTCTTGTCTCGCAGGCGCGGCTGGGTCTGGACTCCAGGCAGGGGTGGGGCGGGCGGGGGACGGAGGACGAGGAGGCGAGGGGCACGAGCCGGGCTCGAACGGCGAGGGGCGAACGACGCGGGGGCAGGGGGCGAACGAGACGGGACCGAGACGAGGGGACAGAGGCCGAGGGAAAGGCGAGGGGAAGGAGCGGTGAACGTCGTCGGCGCGCGTCGTCGTGCAGGTGCGCGTCGTTGCTGCCGGTCGTTGCAGGTGGTGCCCGTCGTTGCTGGGGGTCGTGTTGCCGGTCGGAGTTGGTGCTGGTCGCAGTCGTGGTGGTGCTGCTGCTGGTCGTGGTCGTGTTGGTGGTGCTGCTGCTGGTTGCGGTCGTGGTCGTGCTGCTGCTGGTCGCAGTCGTGGTGCTGCGAGTCGTAGTCGTGGTGGCGTTGGTGGTCGCAGTCGTGGTGGTGCTGGTTGTGCTGGTGGTGCTGGTCTTGGTGGTGGTGGTGCTGCTGCTGCTGCTGCTGCTGCTGCTGCTGCTGGTCGCAGTCGTGGTTGTGCTGCTGCTGGTCGCAGTCGTGGCGTTGCTGGTAGCAGTTTAGGTGCTGCTGGTCGCAGTCGTGGTGGCGCTGCGGGTTGCAGTCCTGGTGGTGGTGCTGGTAGTGGTTCTGCGGCTGGTCGCAGTCGTGGCGATGGTGGTCGCAGTCGTGGTGCTGCTGGGCGCGTCGTGTTGGTGCTGCTGGTCGCAGTCGTGTTGGTGCTGCTGGTCGCGGTCGTGGTGGTGCAACTTGTCGTGGTGGTGCTAGTCGTAGTAGTGGTGGTGCTGCTGGTCGCCGTCGTGGTGGTGCTGGTTGTGGTGGTGGTGGTGGTGGTGGTGCTGTTGGCCGTGGTGGTGGAGCTGCTGGTGGCAGTCGTGGTGGTGCTGCTGCTGGTCGTGGTCGTGGCGTTGCTGGTGGCAGTCGTAGTGCTGCTGGTAGCCGTCGTGGTGGTGCTGCTGGTCGCGGTCGAGGTGGTGCTGCTGCTGGTCGCGGTGGTGCTGCTGCTGGTAGCAGTCGTGGTGGTGCTGGTTGTAGTCGTGGTGGTGCTGCTGGTCGCAGTCGTGGTATTGCTGGTTGTGCTGGTGGTGCTCGTCGTGGTGGTGCTGCTGGTCGCTGTCTCGGTGCTGCTGCTCCCGGTTGCGGTCGTGGCGCTGCTGGTCGCAGTCGTGGTGCTGCTGGTCGTGGTCGTGGTGGTGCTGCGTGTCGCGGTCGTAGTGGTGGTACTGCTGGTCGTTGTCGTGGTGGTGCTGCTGCTGGTCGCAGTCGTGGCGCTGCTGGTCGCAGTCGTGGCGCTGTTGGTCGCAGTCGTGGGGCTGCTGGTCGCCGTCGTGTTGGTGCTGGTGGTGCTGCTGGTCGTGGTGGTGCTGCTGGTCTCAGTGGTGCTGCTGCTGGTCGCAGTCGAGGTGGTGCTGGTCGTAGTGGTGGTGGTGCTGCTGGTCGCAGTCGTGGTAAGGTGGTAGTGCTGGTTGTGCTGGTGATGCTGGTCGTGGCGGTGCTGCTGGTCGCAGTCTGGGTACTGCTGCTCCCGGTTGCACTCGTGGTGCTGCTGGTCGCTGTCGTGGTGCTGCTGGTCGTGGTCGTGGTCGTGGTGGTGCTGCGGGTCGCTGTCGTGGTGGTGGTGCTGGCACACAAAGCTTCCCACCTTCCCTCGCGCACCTTCGCGGGCTGGACGCGGACACCCGCAGGTACTCCGCCTGTCGCATTCAGAGGTCGGGACTCGGTCTGATTTGCCAGATTATTCGTATTGTCCTAGTCATCTGGAGAGGTGCTCTCGACTTACGCACGTCGCACATCGCGGTACCCGCCGCGCGCGCGGCGCAGGCGCTCCAGCTCCTCCCACAGGCGTTGGCGCCTTTCAGCCTCGATTTCGGCCTCGAACTGAACCAGAGGAAGACCCTGATATGGTGCCCAACTGGAGCGGCGGCGCCCCAGCCCGACCTGCCGAGACACTACGTGGCGACGCGGCCGGTGCTGGTGGAGGCGAGCGGCGACCGGGCCAAGGCCCCCCTCCAGCCTGGCCAGCAGGACGGCAGCTTGGGCGCAGCCACAGACAGGCCAGGCGACCTCTGGCCGGCCCTCTGGCCGCTCATGCACAACGGCTCGCCACCTACGCCGGCGCTGCCAACCAGCACGCGCCGCGGGCCAACCTGTCGGCAGACCACGAGACGCAGCGTCACGACAGCGCGCTGTCCCGCCACTCGGAGGAGCTGGTAAACAGGAGCCTTGAGACGCTGAACAAGGAGGTCCTGGGCCTCCCGCGCGAGGAGGGCGGAGCGGGGGCGCAGTCGGCGACCACGCGCAGGGCGGCCACTTTCTGGGCTGGATGGTCCTTCGCCACGACGTGGCTTGCCGCGGACGTAAGGGCCTTAGCGAGCGGCTCAAGCCAAGCCAAGCCAAGCCAAGCGGCCGGCGCGCGCGAGGGGCGCACGCGGGGCGCAGGCATGGCGCCCTCCAGGGGGCCACGGGGTCCGTGCGCCGACGCTCGGAGCATGGGGAGTGCTCCAGGCGAAGGGGGGCGCCCACCGGACCCAGGCCCACCACCAGGCCTCTGGACGCTGGCTGGGCGAAGGAGACGAGCGCAGGGAGGCGGGAGGCGAAGGACGAGCCCGCCGAGACCTCGTCACCACAGCGGGCGCGGAGCGAAAAACTCGGTCAGGAGAGGGGCCCTTCCAGGCCGCGAGCTGACAAAGACAACCACGACCACGACTACGACCGACCACCCAACGACACGACTTGCCCCCGACCCCCTCCGCTTGAACCCCTTCCGCCACCTGGCTCAAGGCGAGCACAGCCTCACACCTGCCCCGCCGCCCGAAGACACAGACAGCCGACCCAGACTCGCAGACCCACCGGTCGACCGCAGCGCTGGGTATTCGCCTTGCCCACTCGGTGCGCCACGAGGAACCACCGTCGTTCCAGACGCCGCACCGAGAAGAGGGAGAGAGCGAACAGAGAGGCACACGCCTACCACGAACATGCCGAGACCATGCGGCAGCAGGAATCTTTCTCCAGGCGGGAGACCTACCTCGAGGACCGGTTCCACCTGAGGCGGCACGCGGCGCGGGGCAGCGTAAAAATCGAAGAGCGAACCACCACGCAGCCCGACTACCAAGCTCACAACACCACGGACCACGACTCATCCACACCAAGCACGCGAGACTGCATCCAAAAGCTCCTGCGCGCGCCCCTCGGACCCAACACGAGACCAGACTACACAAACGAGGGCGCAACGGCCGTCATGAGGCAGGCCGGGGTGGGGACGCTGGAGACGGACAGCCCGACCCTGCAGCCGAGCGCACGCCAACGCGCCCGCCAGCGGAAGAGGAACGCTGCCGAGCCAACGCCAGCAAGGGGACCGCAGAGCGTGGCCAACACGAGGATGCCACTTCCGTCCAGTGGCAGCCCACGATGCTACCACCACGTCCTGCCCGCGCCGGGCCGACAAGGGCAACGCAGAACTGCAGCTACCGCCAATGCCCTCCTGCCACCCTGGCTCACACCGGCAGCCCCGCAGCTCCCAGAAACGGGAGCCACCGCTTCTACCTGGCGCGCAAAGGCGACGAGGGCAAGCCCTCCCACCAGAGCCGCGCGCAAACAGGCGGCCGCAGCAGGAGAAGCAGCAGAAAGCATCTTGCACCAGCAGAGCGACCACCGCGACCACCAACACCACGCGCAGCAACACCAGCGCGACGAGGAGCACCGCAGCGGCAACAACGTCCACGACTGCGACCAGCACCACGCGCAAGAACACCAGCGCACAGCACAACGCAGCGACCAAGACCACCACGACGTGCACCACCACGAGCAGCAGCACCAGCGCAACCCCTCCAAAAGCCGCCGCGACGCGCGATGGGGTTACCGAGGCGTTCGAGTGGGCGAGGCCAGCCACCCAGGACCTCCAGACGCACCCGGGGACAGCCCCCGAACACCGCGCCCGAGACACACGACGTCACCACCAGAGTCGCCAGAGCACGCACCCGGCGGCGCGGCGCCAATCCCGTCGCAGGAAGAGACCCCACCACGTGTTCTGCTCCGGGTACAAGCCGCAGGGTTTCAGCTTGGCGCGCCAGCCGTGCCGGACCACTTTGGCGCCGTCTTCGGGAGGGCGCCAGAAGGCGGATGGAATTTTGCGGGCTTATTCGCCCCGCATGGCGACAGGCAGGGCGAGGCAGCAGAAGCGGCAGCAACAGCGCGGGAGGAGCCAGACCGATCACCAGCGCCGGCAGAAGACGCCAACATCTGCATCGTCTGCCAGGAAGTGATCCCGCACCATGGGGCGGGCAGGGACACACCAACACAGGAGGCATGCTGTGGCGCCCACTTCCACTTGGGCTGCCGCGCCGACTTGGCCCGCCACCTTGGCGAAGCCACCACTTGCCCGCAGTGCCGAGCCAGACTCCCGATCACTGCCGAGTTACGGGCATGGTGCGCCGCGCAGGGCGTGGACATAGACCGACCGCCGCCCCCGGCCCACGACACCAGCGCCCAGGCCGTCCCAGATTACAATGGGTTTCGAAGCTACGCGCGAGGCGAAGAACCACCACCACGGGAGCCACCGCTGCTCCGAGCGCTCTGCTGCCGACGCCTCGGCCCACCGCCCGAATTCTCCGAAGTGCCAGACCGCCGCATGGAATGGTCCCCGGAGATTGCTGCACGCGACACCAACGGGATGATCACGCAGTGGCTTGAGTCATGGCTTTGCCCACGCTGCGGGGCGCGCTGCGCCGTCGACACGATCGCGCCACAGAGCGGCCAACAGATGTGCGCGAGGTGCCTAGAGCAGGGCACGTGGACCGCGGAAGCCAGCACGGCCGAAGGCGAATGGAGGTGCGCTCTGTGCGAACCAGACGCATGGACCAGAGAAGTGCCTTCTGCCCCACCACCAGCCCCGCCAGGTCCAGAGCCATCGCCACCAGCCCCCCCGCCAGGGCCAGAGCGAGCCGCCGCGAGGCCGCCACAACACAGCCCTTTCGCCGGCTGGGCCCCACCGCAAGCGCCCCTCCAGGCACGCACCAACTCCGCAGTGTACGTGCCCCTGCTGCTCGCAGCCGCCGGGCTTTTAGACCCAAGCGAAGGGGCGCAGTGGAGTGAGCACCGCCTCACACATGCCTGGTGGCAGCCGACGGTAGAGACGTTGCGGCTTGCAGGACCTGTACTAACAGGGCCCTTTGTCCAAATGCTTGCGTACACCGACGCTCGGCCCGGGGAAGTACCAGCGGTGCTTGCCGCAGACGGAGGAGAGCGCCCAGGGCGCGTATCCTTTGCGCCAGTCGTCCAGGCAGTGGCGCACAGCAGCACCGGCTACATACAGCCGCTGGTGCAAGACCTCCTCCTCGAAGCCTTCGGCGGCGGCGTGCTTGCACGAGGAGTTGACGCACGCACAAACGAGCTGCGCAACCCAAGCTTCTGGGCAGACGCGGCGCCTCCGCCGCCGCTCCCACCGCCAGAGGCGCCCCAGGAGCCGGAGCTGCCTGGAGACCAGCACGCGAACGGCCCTGCCGCCGTGGTGGGCAGAGGCGCCCCCGGAGACAGAAGCGGAAGAGGCGCCAGAGAAAGCAGACGAGGAAGAGGCGCCAGAAGAGGCCGAGGCGGCGGAGAAGGGGGAGGAGGAGGCCCGAGCAGCGGCAGCGACGGCGGAAACACGGGCGCGGAGGAGGGAGACGCCAACGACGGCGGCAGCAACTCCAGCACTGAGGAGACCGACCACGAGGCCGAACCAGCGCAGGCCCCAGCCCCGAGCAACGGACCCACCGAAGAGTCCTGGGCAGCTCTCGGGGGCATCGACCTCCAACAAGAGCTCCGGAGATTCGTGCCGACACTACAGAACGTGCCACGTTTCCTGCGCGCGGAGACCCGGATGGCGTTCACCACGGCCCTGAAGAGGATCAAGCGAGGACACGACCAGGGCAACCAAGCAACAACCCACCAAGGATGGACACTGTTCCTCCTCGCCTCGAGGCTCCTGCTAAGCAAGCCCAAGGGTACCGACGCCGAGGGCCGACAAGAGCTCTTGGAACGCGCCCAACGGTTCCGCCAGGGCGACTGGCTGGCCCTGCTACACGAGGCCAACACCACGGCCGGCGCGCGCGCAGCGCCGAGGCCAGCCACAGAGGAGCAACAGCAGGAGAGACGCAGAGAACAGGCTTGCGCGCACGTCCGAAACGGCAACCCGTCACGGGGGAGACAGGTCTTGACCGCGGCGGCGATTGCGCCCGGCAACGGGGAGACACTAAACAGGCTGCGGGACCCGGCCCGCCGACCGCCTACCCTGAGCCGCCGACTACCCGCCAACCTCGACCGCGCAACCGACAGAGCGAGACTCGACAAGACCAAATTCCTCGCTTGCCTCCGGTCCGCTAAAAAGGGCACGGCAGCAGGACCGTCGGGGGTCCGCGTTGAGCACCTCAAGCCGCTGCTGGAACACGAAGAGTCCATGGACCTGCTTGGATTCGCCGCCGCTGCCCTCGCGGAGGCGCGGGTGCCCTCCCCGATTGCCCGCGCTCTAGCCCTCTGCAAGATGACGGCGCTCCAGAAACCAGACAACGGAGTACGGGGCATCGCCACCGGCGACGTTTTCCGCCGACTGGTCACCAGGGCGCTCGCTCAACAGTTCGCCGAGCAGTTCGCGGCCGCAACTGCGCCCTTCCAGTTCGCCCTGACGACGCGGGCAGGAACCGACTGCGCCGCCATGCTGCTGAGGTCAGTGCTGGACCACGACGACGACGCAGTGATTGTCAGCATCGATGGAGTCGGGGCTTTCGACCATGTGTCGAGGTCGGCCTTCTTCCAGGAGCTCCTTGCTCGCCCAGAGCTGGCCGGCTTAATCCCCTTCGTGAAGATGTGGTACGGGCAAGACTCCACCTACCTCTGGCAAGACGAAATGGGGACTGTGCACGACGTGCACCAGGGAGAGGGAGTGGAGCAGGGGGACGCGCTGGCCCCAGCCCTCTTCGCTCTTGCCCTGCACGGAGCGCTGGCGGGCGCCTCCAGGACCCTAGAGCAAGGGGACTTCCTAGTCGCTTTCTTGGACGACGTGTACATCAAGACCACCCGGGCCAGGGCCAGAGCCGCTTTCGACACCACCACCGGAGCAATTCACCTCCACGCAAACGTGGATTGCCACCTTGGCAAGTGCCGGGCCTACAGCAGGGGCGGAGGCGCAGCGCCGCCCGGAATTGGCGAGCTGGGACAAGACGTCTGGAGGGGTGACAGAGCACCACCCGACCGAGGAATCAAGATCCTTGGCACCCCCCTAGGCACCCCAGAATTCGTCGCCGCACACCTGGAGAGCAGACTACAGGAAGAGAGGAGACTCCTGGACGAACTGGCGCACCTGCCCGACCTACAGTGCGCTTGGCTCCTCCTCCTCCTTTGCGCCTCCCCGCGGGCCAACCACCTGCTGCGAACCCTGCCGCCAGAGGAAATCGCAGAATACGCGAGAGGCCACGACGGCGACATGTGGGCCACCCTGCGCCGCCTCCTCGGGGACCCCGCAATGTCGCAAGACGAAGAGCGACGGGCGCGCGCACTGGCAGCAATGCCTGGACGACACGGAGGACTCGGGCTCCAAAGCGCCGCGCGCACGTCCCCAGCGGCCTACTGGGGCGCTTGGGCAGACGCCCTACACATGCTCCACCAACGGCGCCCCGTTGAAGCTGCAGCGATCAGGGACCTCCTCGACGGCACCAGGCCCGGCCGTAGGGGCAACCTTGCCGCGGCCGCCGCGGCCGCACAGCTGCTCGAAACCGAAGGCTTCCGGAGACCTTCCTGGACCGACCTGCTCCAGGGGCTGCGCCCAGAAGCGCCGCCGCGCTCGGAGGCCGCCGAACCGGGGGAATGGCAGCACGGCTGGCAGTTCCACGCTTGTTCCGCACGCAACACACACTACAGGGACAACGTGTTCATGCCCAGCCTCACCAGGGCCAACCAGGCCATGCTAAGGTCAGGCTCAGGACCGAGGGCCGCCTACTGGCTTCACACCTTACCCACCACCGAGGGGCACGTGTTCAAGCCCGCGCGGTTCCTGGCAGCCCTGCGCCGGCGCCTCAGGCTCCCGCTGCCGCTCCTCCCGCACACTGCGGGGCAGCCGGCCACCCAGGCTGCCGGGCCCGGCTGGACACGCTGGGAGACCACCTAGCCGCGTGCCCACGCACGGGGCTTCTCGCCAGACGCGCGAAACCGCTCGAACGAGCTTGGGCGAGGGTCGCCAGAGAAGCAGGAGGGAGAGTTGTCCCCCAACAGCTGCTGCGGGACACTAACGCCGTTGTCCACAACCCGCTGGACCGCAGACAATTAGACCTAGTCGTCTACGGCATCTCGCCGAACGGCGTCCCGCTGTGCTGCGACAGCACCATGGTGTCCCCCCTCCGCAGGGACGGCTGGCACCGGCCGCGCACCTTCGACACCGACGGCGCCGCGCTACTTGGGGCCGAAAGGCGCAAACGACGCAGGTACCACGAACTCACGACCGGCCATTCAGGCCGCCTCATGGTCCTCTCCTGCGAGGTCGGAGGCAGGTGGGGCCGCGATTCCCTCCAGCTGGTACGCCTGCTTGCCAAGCAGAAGGCGCGGGCCGCGCCGGCCCTCCTCCGCCGCTCCGCGGAGCTCGCGTACACCAACCGCTGGTGGGGGTTCCTGAGCGTCGCGGCCCAGGACTCGCTCATGGCCACCCTGACGGGCGACGGCTACCTAGCCTTGGGGGGAGCCGCCGGGGAGGACGACCCAGACCTGGCCGAAGTGCTGCTCGCAGACTCCGCCGGCCCACCCGCTAGCCGCCTGCCAGCGCGCCCCTGATGCTTGGCGCCGCGGCCAGCACGGCCGCCCCGGGGGGCTCCGACGAGCGCCGGGAGCACCCCCGACACGGCAGCGGGCACCACGAGGAGGTCAGCAGTACCACCACCACCACAACGGCGACCAGCAGCACCATCGCTTCGACTGCGACCCGCAGCAGAACCACCACCAACACCACCACCACGAGAGCGACCCGCAGCACCACCACGACCACGACCAGGAGCACCACGACTGCGACCAGCAGCACCACGACTGCGACCAGCAGCAGCACCACCACGACTACGACCAGCAGCACCACCACCACCACGACCAGCAGCACCACCAGCACCACCAGCACAAGCAGCACCACCACGACTGCGACCAGCAGCACCACCACGACTACGACCAGCACCACCACGACTGCAACCAGCAGCAGCACCACAACGACCAGCAGCACCACCACCATTACCAGTAGAACCACCAGCACCACCACGACGGCGACCTGCAGCCCCACGACTGCGCCCAGCAGCGCCACGACTGCGACCAGCAGCACCACGACTGCGACCAGCAGCAGCACCACCACGACTGCGACCAGCAGCACCACCACCACGACAGCGACCCGCAGCACCACCACGACCACGACCACGACCAGCAGCACCACGACAGCGACCAGCAACACCACGACTGCAACCGGGAGCAGCAGCACCGAGACAGCGACCAGCAGCACCACCACGACCAGCACCACCAGCACAGCCAGCACTACCACGACTGCGGCCAGCAGCAGCACCACCACTACGACCAGCACCGCCACGACAACGACCAGCACCACGACTGCTACCAGCAGCACGACGACTGCGACAAGCAGCAGCACCACCACGACTACGACCAGTAGCAGCACCACCACCACCACGACCAGCAGCACCACCAGCACCACCAGCACAAGCAGCACCACCACGACTGCGACCAGCAGCACAACCACGACTACGACCAGCACCGCCACGACTGCAACCAGCAGCAGCACCACAACGACCAGCAGCACCACCACCACGACCAGCAGCACCACCAGCACCACTACGGCGGCGACCAGCAGCCCTACGACTGCGACCAGCAGCACCACGACTGCGACCAGCAGCACCACGACTGCGACCAGAAGCAGCACCACCACGACTGCGACCAGCAGCACCACCACCACGACAGCGACCCGCAGCACCACCACGACCACGACCAGCAGCACCACGACCACCACGACCAGCAGCACCACCAGCACCACTAGCACAAGCAGCACCACCACGACTGCGACCAGCAGCACCACCACGACTACGACCAGCACCGCCACGACTGCAACCAGCAGCAGCACCACCACGACCAGTAGCACCACCAGCACCACCACGACGGCGACCAGCAGCCCCACGACCGCGACCAGCAGCGCCACGACTGCGACCAGCAGCACCACCACCACGACAGCGACCCGCAGCACCACCACGACCACGACCAGGAGCACCACGGCTGCGACCAGCAGCACGACGCCTGCGACCAGCAGCATCACCACGACTACGACCAGCAGCACCACCACCACCACGACCAGCAGCACCACCAGCACCACTAGCACAAGCAGCACCACCACGACTGCGACCAGCAGCACCACCACGACTACGACCAGCACCACTACGACTGCAACCAGCAGCAGCGCCACAACGACCAGCAGCACCACCACCACGACCAGCAGCACCACCAGCACCACCACGACGGCGACCAGCAGCCCCACGACCGCGACCAACAGCGCCACGACTGCGACCAGCAGCACCACGACTGCAACCAGCAGCAGCACCACCACGACTGCGACAAGCAGCACCACCACCACGACTGCGACCCGCAGCACCACCACGACCACGACCACGACCAGCAGCACCACGACAGCGACCAGCAGCACCACGACTGCAAGCGGGAGCAGCAGTACCGAGACTGCGACCAGCAGCACCGCCACGACCAGCATCACCAGGACAACCAGCACTACCACTACCACGACTGCGACCAGCAGCACCACCGCCACTACGACCAGCACCACCACGACTGCGACCAGCAGCAGCACCACAGAGACCAGCAGCACCACCACGACCAGCGGCACCACCAGCACCAACACGACGGCGACCAGCAGCCCAACACGACGGCGACCAGCAGCACCACGACTGCGACCAGCAGCGCCACGACTGCAACCAGCAGCACCACGACTGCGACCAGCAGCGGCACCACCACGACAATGACCAGCAGTACCACCACTACGACCGCGACCCGCAGCACCACCACGACCACGACCAGCAGCACCACGACTGCGACCAGCAGCGCCACGACCGCAACCAGGAGCAGCAGCACCGAGACAGCGACCAGCAGCACCACCACGACGAGCACCACCAGCACAACCAGCAATACCACGACTGCGACCACCAACACCACCACGACTACAACCAGCACCACCACGACCGCGACCAGCAGCAGCACCACCACGACCAGCAGCAGCACCACCTCGACCGCGACCAGCAGCACCACCACGACTACTACCAGCAGCACTACGACTGCCACCAGCAACACCACGACCACGACCAGCAGCAGCACCACCACGACTGCCACCAGCAGCTCCACCACCACGGCCAACAGCAGCACCAGCAGCACAACCAGCACAACCAGCACCACCACTACTACGACTAGCACCACCACGACAAGCAGCACCACCACAACCGCGACCAGCAGCACCAACACGACTGCGACCAGCAGCCCCACGACTGCGACCTGCAGCGCCACGACTGCGACCAGCCGCAGAACCACTACCAGCACCACCACCACGACTGCAACCCGCAGCACCACCACGACTGCGACCAGCAGCACCAAAACTGCGACCAGCAACACCACGACTGCGACCAGCAGCAGCACCACCACGACTGCGACCAGCAGCAGCAGCAGCACCACCAAGACCAGCACCACGAGCACAACCAGCACCACCACGACTGCGACCACCAACACCACCACGACTACGACTCGCAGCACCACGACTGCGACCAGCAGCAGCACTACCACGACCGCAACCAGCAGCAGCACCACCAACACGACCACGACCAGCAGCAGCACCACCACGACTGCGACCAGCACCAATTCCGACCGGCAACACGACCCCCAGCAACGACGGGCACTACCTGCAACGACCAGCAGCAACGACGCGCACCTGCACGACGGCGCGCACCGACGACGCCCACCGCCCCTTCCCCTCGCCTTTCCCTCGGCCTCTGTCCCCTCGTCTCGGTCCCGTCTCGTTCGCCCCCTGCCCCCGCGTCGTTCGCCCCTCGCCGTTCGGGCCCGGCTCGTGCCCCTCGCCCCCTCGTCCTCCGTCCCCCGCCCGCCCCGCCCCCGCCTGGAGTCCAGACCCAGCCGCGCCTGCGAGACAAGGGAGCAGCGGCAGCAGGCTATGGCGCTGCTGATTCCCAAACTGGGGCCCAACGTCATCAGTTGCATCGCAGGGGCCAGCGCACGTGCGAAAAATGGGCAGCGGCAGTGGCAGCGAGCCAGGGAGGAGAGCGAGGCTGCAGAGGAGGAAATAGAAGAGGAGGAGAAGGCAGCGGACGAGCAGGACCAGGTCGAGGAGGAGGAGGAGGAGGAGGCGAAGATAATCGCGCTCGACGTCAGCCGGCAGTGGCAGCGAGCCAGGGAGTCAGGACGCGGAGGAGGAGGAGGAGGAAGACGGGAGGTGATGGCGGAGCCAAGCGTCATCAGCTACAGCTCTGGGATCAGCGCACGCGCGAGAGGCGAGCAGTGGCAGCGGGCTCTCTCACTGCCCAGCGAGATGCGGGAGGCGAAGGTGGAGCCAAGTGACATCAGCTATAGCTTTGGGATCAGCACCTGCGCGAAAGACGAGCAGTGGCAGCGGGCTCTACCACTGCTCAGCGGGATGTGGGAAGTGAGGTTGGAGCAGAATGGCATCAGATACAGCCCTGGGATCAGCGCGTATGCGAACGGCGAGCAGTGGCAGCAGGCTCTCCCACTGCTCAGCGAGATGCGGGACGCGAAGGTGGAGCCAAGCGCCATCAGCTACAGCTCTGGGATCAGCGCCTGCGCGAAAGGCGAGCAGTGGCAGCGGGCTCTATCGCTGCTCTGCGAGATGTGGGAAGTGAGGCTGGAGCCAGATGCCATCAGCTACAACTCTGGGATCAGCCCTGGGATCAGCGCGTGTACGAACGGCGAGCAGTGGCAGCGGGCTCAAGCGCTGCTTTGCGAGATTTGGGAGGCGAAAGTGGAGCCAAGCGTCATCAGCTACAGCTCTGGGATCAGAGCGTGCAGGAAAGGCGAGCAGTGGCAGCGGGCTGTATCGCTGCTCTGCGAGATGCGGGAGGCGAAGGTGGAGCCAAGTGTCATCAGCTACAGCTCTGGGATCAGCGCATGCACGAAAGGCGAGCAGTGGCAGCGGGCTCTATCGCTGCTCTGCGAGATTTTGGAAGTGAGGTTGGAGCCAGATGCCATCAGCTACAACTCCGGGATCAGCCCGTGCGCGAACGGCGAGCAGTGGCAGCAGGCCCTCCCACTGCTCAGCGAGATGTGGGAGGCGAAGGTGGAGCCAAGTGTCATCAGCTACAGTTCTGGGATCAGCGCATGCGCGAGAGGCGAGCAGTGGCAGCGGGCTCTCTCACTGCCCAGCGAGATGGGGGAGGCGAAGGTGGAGCCAGATGCCATCAGCTATAGCTCTGGGATCAGCGCGCGCGCGAAAGACGAGCAGCGGCAGCGGGCTCTATCACTGCTCAGCGGGATGCGGGAAGTGAGATCGGAGCCGAATGTCATCAGCTACAGCTCTGGGATCAGCGCGTGCGCGAAAGGCGAGCAGTGGCAGCGGGCTCTATCGCTGTTCTGCGAGATGTGGGAAGTGAGGTCGGAGCCAGATGCCATCAGCTACAACTCTGGGATCAGCCCTGGGATCAGAGCGCGTGCGAACGGCGAGCAGT